CCTGTGGCAGGGCTCAGCCACCCTCACAGCACAGAAGTTCTTCCTCATGTTCCGGGGGAACTGCCTGTGTTTCAGTTTGTGCCCGTTGCCTCTTAACATGTCGCTGGGCACCACTGTAAAGAGTCTGGGTCCATCCTCTTGATACCCACCCTTAAGGTATTTACAAGCATTGATGCCCTGGAGAGCTCCGAGGCCACTGTGGGTGCAAACAGGGGGCAGTGACTGAAGATGGTAGAGAGCAGTCACTTAGAAAGGGACAGGGAGTGAAGGCAACAGGAACGCATTTGAAAAATCTGCTCCAGAGCAGAACTCAAAATAGTAATGCAGATGAATTTGCAATTTTTTTACATGTCCAAATACACTGTTTATATTGCTGAAAGCAAGTAGTAAAGCTTTTGTGTGATAGGGAGGTGATTTTTACCTATTTGATGTATGTTTGGTTGCAAAGGTTTGCCTCCCCTCTTGAAGTCTCATCTTCGACAGGATCCCATGGAGCAGTTGCAGTGCATGTTAGGGAAAGGTAGTTTTCAGTTTGAAGTAGAGACTTAGAAAAGATCCAGCACCGCAGTATTCTGAAGGACTAAACGTTGGTTTGGAGACCACAGAGATATTTTGGGGGATAAAGCTGGAGTAAGGAAAATATTTATTTGAATACTATATTTTATTTTAAGCGTGGTCAGAATTCTATTCTGACTAACTGTCCAAAGTTGCTGGTAGCTATTTCAGAAACTTAGTAGTGGCATCTCTGATAGTGGGTAATTCTCTTAGAAGACTAGTGTTCTTGATGTAACAAGCTATGCATAGTGACAAGAAAAACAAATGATGGTTAGGATGCAGAATGTGGCAGTATAATCAACCACGCAGTGTAGTCTGTCATTAAAAATATGTTTTGGGTTTTTTTTTAAAGAAAAACAAAACAAACCCAAACATATCTTAGCATTGAATAATATCTTACTTCTATGGGTGCAAATAATGCAGAGCTTGAATAAATAACTTACTTACCTGCATCAATTTCTATCTTTAAAATAGTTACGTTAAGGGTGTTTTGGTTTTTTATGTATATAGTGTGTTTCAGGAAACTATATGTTTGCAGTGTTATACAAAATGTTGCTGGTGAATTTAGATTATTATACGATCAAGTTTGCCTCCAGCCAGTCATGAACTTTTAGCTTGGGCAAATGCTTTCCAGAAACAAGTAACATAGCATTATTAATTCCTGTGTTTTGTGAACCTAGGAAGGTGCAAGTAAAATCTAGGCACTCAAAAGGAGGGCAGTAAAGGTGGATTCAGGCTCTTCTCTGTGGTGCCCAGCGACAGGACAACAGGCAGTGGGCACAAGTTGAAATATGAGAAATGCCATTTAAATGCAAGAACACTTTTTTTACTGTGAGGGTGACCAAACACTGGAATAAGTTGTCCAGGGAGCTTGTGGAGTGTCTATTATTGGAGTTATTCAAAAACTGACTGGAAAAGGTCCTGTGTAACTTAACCTGTTTAATTTGACCCTGCTTTGAGGGACTAGATGATCTCCAGAAGTCTTTTTGAACCTTACCTATTTTATATGGTATTCTTCCATAATAATACTAAGACTGCAGAAAGAATATTTATTTGAGGAGATACAGGAAGACCAGTGAAGTAAGAATGTCAGCACATGTTACTTTATTCTTTCTGCCCACCAACTGCTGTGTTATCACACAAACATTAAAGTTTTGTAAGCAAGTGTTCTTTGAGCAGGACAGATCTTTTGATTAACGGTTTGGTATTTCAGATTAAGCATTTCTTAATACAAATATTATCATAGCAAATTGTGATCTATAAGTTAAATGGGGCAAAACTTGATTAATAGAAAGAAGGAAAATATGTCTTTAAATTGGCTGATATTTAGATACAAATTCTTAAATGGTTAAGAGAGTAACAGCAGTTTAGAATTTACTGCCTTTCACTGGGGAGTTTCAATGGCAACACAAAATTCATTACTGTGTATTTACCTAAGATTGTGTATCAGTTAGGGGGGTGATTCTCACAAAAACCAGGAATTGCATTAATCAAGAAACTGCATTTCTTTTTCAGACACAGGAAATGGTGAACAGCTATATGAATGTCCAATGTGCAGTCTTACCTGTACAAACATTCAGATTCTTGAAGAACATGTGGATCTACACTTAGAGGAACATAAGTTTTCGGAAGGTACATGAAAGGATACAGGCTCGATAAACTTGAAAGCATTTACAAGTATTTGCATGTTGTAGTACAGAATTTCAGACAAAATTTAAACTAATATTTCCTTATTTAAAAAGAGAACAGGACACGTACGTAATGACGTTAACACAGTTAATAGCAAGTCCTATCACTTGCCCAAGTGCTCTACTTAATTAGACATGCTAAAAGAAGTATTAGTCTATGCATGCTTGTTAAGTAAATGCACAGTATGTTTGCCAAAACTAAAACAGAGTGAAAAATGTTTAAAAGGCAGCCATATTATATTTTTTCTAGCTCTATAGGTTTATATACATGGGATTTAGAGTGACTGAAAAACTGTACCTTATGAAAACTTCAATTTTTTTTCTTAATTCTTTCCTCTGAATGCTTGTGTTGATTTATTAGTCACAGCAATAAAGTAAAGGAATCAAAATTGATTTTATTTATTAGCATGGCTAATAAAATCCTAGAGATTCCCTATCCAGTTCTCTGATCCAAAATTTGGTTTTGTCACTTTGTTATGAGACTGCTGGCAGTGATCCTAGAAGCTAATAAGCATGTGGTGTTCAAAAAACTGGGACTTCTTGCTAACAATGGAGTGAAACATAGTAAGCAAAAGCTGTTTTCTCAGTAGTAGAGGTGCACACATTATTTGCCAAGTAATTGCTACTGTAACTGGATAAACTTTGTCCAAGTCAAGAGTCTGAGTCTTGGTAGACTGAATACAGTCAGTCCTGCTTAGTCTTAGTTGCTAATAGCTCAAAATAACATGGGATGCATCTCCTAAAATTAATACCCAGTTGTATTTATGTATGTCTGCTTAGAAAAGAATCTTTGAAAATTAAATAAATGATCCATCAAAGCATTGTTAACCTCCTGATCAAGTCCTCTCTCTTTGAAATGTTATTCCTGGGTAGATGGAAACATAAGAGATCTAGAACTGGCTCAACGGCTCCAAACCGAAGAAGATAAACGGCAGAGATCAGCTGAAGAGAAGCGAGAGAGGGAAGAATTTAAAAAGCTGCAGGTAAAGTAATATTTCTAAGTGGTAAACTTTTGAACAGTTGTGCCATTAGGAGCTGAGTATCTTGGAGCTGTAGTGACCTGGAATGGCCATACCAGGTCAGAGCTGTGCAGTCACACAGGCCCTGTTGAGGGAGTGGTGCAGGAGTGAGTTGCAGGCAAACACAAGCTCTCAGCAACCCTGATCCTGGCATGGGCGCTGGGCATGCCTGCCTTGAGCTACTTGGCTTTACTGCTTTGAGTGGTGCTGGCTCAGGATGGGGCTGCATGGTCCCTGTGCATGCAATGCCATGCTCACCAGCGGTCCTGGCACACCTGCTGCCTTGTACTGTGTTCTCCCTAGCTCTGGTGCTCTGCCCTGCAGCGCAGCCTGGAGTATATTTCCTGGCAGAGTGCCTGAGGCCCTGAGCATCCTGGCTGTCCTCTTCCGGGATACCGTCACCTGCTAACAGTGTCTGTTCCCCTGCTAGATTCTGCTTCCCTCTCCCTCCCACCTGACAGCCCTGATCGCTCATTTCCCGCTCTCGCTACCTCCTGGCCATTGACTGCCTCTGTGCCAATGGTGGTCTGTCCAAGAGGGAGCAGAGGGATGTGCCTGCTCTTCCTGGTGAGGCTTTCCTAGTCCCAGTTCCTATTCAAGAGTGAAGCTTGGCCTTCAGCTCTAAAATATCCTAACTCTGAAGTTTTTATGTCTCAGTGTTCACTGTTTTTCAAAGTTACTGATTGTGCATGCAGCTCTCAAAATCACTAAAGGTGAGTTTAAAAAATGTGATTTAAATCATGTATGTTCCATCCCTAACAGAGACAGTATGGCTTGGATAATTCTGGAGGCTACAAGCAGCAATTTGTAAAGAATATGGAAAGGGAAGTTGATAGAGGAAGGATGCAGCCTTTTGAATATCACAAGAGAAAAGCTGACATGATGGAATGTTTGGCTTTTGGTATAGATGATGGGAAAACAAAGACCTCAGGTAAAAATGATGAAATTACACAACTAAGACTGTACTTTTTAGACCTAGGTTGTAGTGACCAAACCTGTCTTTAACAAAGCATATAATTGGATGTTTAGTATTGGTTGCATCCTAATTCTAATCCTTATTTTCTAGATCAATCTAGACCATTTTAGTCCTGAATTTATAAGGAAGTTGAAGCTTGGTCTATTTCTAATCTTTATTCTAACACGAAGACTTTTTTTTCTTTTTTCTCTTTCTCTTTTTTTTTTTCTGTGGAACCTTGGAACCAAGTCATCTAGTTGAGGACCCAAATACAATATGTATGAAACGATGCAAATATTTTATTACAAGTTGGTTGTCCTTGAGTGCATGTTTGTTTACTGGTTGGTACTCATTGGTTTCTAACCTAGTGTAGCTGTTAAAATTTACAGTAACTTTTTGTCTTGTGTTTCTCTTAGTTGTAGTATCATGTAAGCTGGTTCCAGGTAAGCACAGCATCCATCTGATTACAAAGTCCCAAGAGAGGACTGGGAGGAGTAGATACCTACTTGATACATCTTCTTTGAGATGTTTTATAATTGGTACAAAAATACAGTGCTGATGGATTTATATGTCCCTTTCAAAAGGCTTCCTTGTCTTTACTTGCCAAGACCATGGTTCAGAGGTCTTTTAGCTTATTGCTAGTGGTTCTAGCTTATGTATCAAGAACCAAACAGATATTTTGTAAAATAAAATTTCTTCTATAAAATGTATTGAGTGGAAATAGTACATTTAAAGTTTTCATTCTTGGTAACGATTTCGACTTCAGAGAGGAATTAAAAAAATAATCTGTGATGGCTATGTAATGATTGTCTTCACAACAGCATGGCAATAAAGGGCCTTTGAGAAGTTACATTTACAAATTTGAGAGAGCATTCCCAAGCATGTTCTTTCATGTAACAAAGGAGGATTTGGAATATCCTGCAAGGGGATTTATTAAAAATATTTACAGTAATTCTCAAATTCTGTGCCATTCCTTTTCTTAGTTTCTCCAGGAAAAATCATTTATGGGGAATAGAAGGATTACATAGTATGCATAAGTATTTCCATGTTTTTAAGGGGGTGTTGTACTGGAGGTGGCAGTGACATAGGAATGCTTTATTGGCGACATTGCTTTTCCTATTTCATTGTAATAGTTCCTGTGCCTATCACAGTTTATAATGTAGTCCAAGCTGTTTAATTTAAAATATTCACTGTGTAGGAGCAGTGAAAAAATAGCTTGAATTTTGAAAGTTTCATAGTACATGAATTCATCAAAGTAAAGACCACCGAAATGAAATAGGTGCAATGTCCCCTGTTTTTGGGATTTGGGTTCTAGATGTAACACAGGATCACTTAGAAGTTTTAAAATAAATTGTCTTAATCTGTATCTGTTGCAAGCTGGGGAAAGAATCCTTTTTTGGGAAATTTTGTAATTCACTTTACAGATAAACTTTGTATTTCATCTCCTCCTAGGAGTCATCGAAGCATTGTGCAAGTACTATCAGAACGAAAACAAAGATGTGAGGCATGTATGGCTTTCAACAGGAGTAGATCACTTCCACTCATCTCTGGGCGACAGAGGCTGGGGTTGCGGTTACAGGAATTTCCAAATGCTCCTTTCCTCACTGGTGCAAAACAGCTTGTATAATGACTGCTTGAGAGGTATTAAACAAAATGCTGCCTATTTGTTTCACGTACCTCAGATGACAACCCACTGATTGATATTTTTGTTTTTCATTTACACAGAAGGCTTACTAGGTTAATGATACCTGTTAAATGCTTGTTATACCACTGGAACTTAATGTGGAAAGAATCAGAGGTGAACACGGGCAAGGCATGATGTGCTTGAAGTTTTAACTTCAGGTTTTTTGGTGCATCTTTGTAACATCAACTGCCTCTTATAAAAGAAACTGGGTATTTTTAATTAGTAGACTGTTTCAGTAACTGTAACCACAATTCAAAAGCTTTTCTGTTCCAGATACTACACTAATTCCTAGTATTCCAAAGATTCAGTCCATGATTGAAGATGCCTGGAGAGAAGGCTTTGATCCTCATGGGGCATCTCACTTCAACAACAGATTACATGGTTCCAAAGCATGGATAGGAGCATGTGAAATTTATTCACTCTTAACCAGTCTCAGGATAAAGTAAATATTGCTGCTTTTTTGTTGTTGTTGTTGTTTTTAAGTGCTGTACCTTTAAAGGTCAGAGTTGCCAACTGTATGATGACACAGCCACCTTAGTGGCTTTCAATTTAACCAACCTATAAACAGATCTGATTTAGTGCAGCATAAAGCTGTGTAACTACTTATGCAGGTACATAAACTGAATAACTACTTAGATCATTGAAACTTGGTGAAGAATTATGCTACATATGCATAAAATTAAACATTGATTAAAAACAATTTCTCTACAAGCTGCTTCTCCAGAAGAATGTGAATTTCAGCTATTCACATGCATAATTCTGAAAGCTGTTAATTGGATTCTCTAGTGTATCACATACAAAAAAAATCAAACATTTTAACTTTACAAACTTCACAAGTTGTTGTTAGACTGAACAGAGTACAGTGTTTCTTTGTTGTGGAATAAATCTTCCACTTTTAAACGTATATATTGCATTGTTTTGTAATTGCGTGTCCCCTAGTCCTGTATATATAAAAAAAGAAAAAAAAAAAAAAAGTAGTTATGACCACTTGATGCCTGGAATTGCCGTGTTTACAAAACATTCTTCATGCAGGAGGAAGGGACTGAGAGGAGAAAAAATGGTTTTAACAAACAACCTGTTTGAAATTTTATTGTTGCTTTCCTTCTGAATGCTCTGTAGGTGTCAAATCATTGACTTTCACAAACCGACTGGCCCTATGAGTACACACCCTCGTTTATTTGAGTGGGTTTTGCGTTACTATTCTACAGATAATGAAGGTGGTCCAAAAGTAGTGTGTACTTCCAAGCCACCTATCTACTTGCAACACCAAGGTCAGTATCACAATATGCTGGTTTCTTACTGTTCTCTATCTTTCTTTATATGTGCTGCGATTCAGAGCAGTATTTTACATTCCTTCATCATTTAATTGAAAGCATGGCTTTATTTCCTGTTATTTTTTTATTTAGTAAGAGCAACATTAAAGTTAGTATTTTTATTGGATGGAAGAGCTAGATGTGATTGGGATCTTGACTTTTTGACATCTGCTCTTTACTTATAACTACCTTGTTAAAGTAATGTCTTCCTTGATCTGAAGATAAGTAGTATGTTTGAGGAAGTAAATGGGATTTATGTGTTTTTAAAATACTGAAACTCTATTTTGAAATTAGGTCATAGTCGTACTGTTGTTGGAATAGAAGAGAGGAAGAATAAAACCTTATGTTTGCTACTGTTTGACCCGGGATGTCCTTCCCAAGAAATGCAGAAACTGCTCAAACAGAACAGTGATGGTACTAGTCTCAGACTACTTCGGAAATTTGTGGGTGGCTTAAAAGAAAAGCAATACCAGATAGTGGCTGTAGATGGTATACTCTCACTGGAAGAGAAAGCTGTAAGTATTTTGGAAAATAGTTTCTGTCTGAGAAAATTTAAGAGAATCTGCATCTCTTCTTTAATACTTAAATGCTTATGCATATGTAGCTGCATGGTGAATTTTTTTCATCTCTTCGCTTTCCTCATTCTTCTTCTCTGCTTCTTTCTGCTTATTTTCTGTGAAATGAGTAATCAGAGGATATCAAAATCAAAAAAGTGTTGCATGTAAATGCATGCCGCCTTGATGTAACTGACAACTTCCAAGTCTCTTATGAAGCTTGCAGCTGTTCGCAGATGTAAATTAGGCTTTTTTTTTCTTTTCATTTTCTTACAGTAATTTCTCCTAAAGAACTTGTGAGCTTGTAAGGTACTTACAAAGCATTCATAGTCCAAAATGATGTTCGGGGGGTTTATTGAAACTTTGTAAGGCTCTGTGGTGTGTATCAGCCCTTGATAGTTGAAGAGCAAGGCGCACAGATAGTGAGGCCTAACCATCCAGTGTCTCCTCCGCTTCAATGTTAGAACAAGCGCATTCTGCTTTCTGAAAGTACTTAGAATTTCATATATTCAAAACACAGCTCTGCGTAACTTTTATGTTTGAGCTGTTGGCATTTTTATAAATCATATCCACATCTCTCACTTTGGGCATTGTAACTTTTTAAGACTTAGAAGTTTTCAGGTGAATATTAGATGTAATTTTTGTTTCTTAATCTTTCTCTTTCCTATGTTAACAAATGGATTCTGACGACCCATGTTGCGATTCTGTGGTGTCCTGTCAGCACTGTTCAGCATGTTCAAGCTTCAGGACAGACATTTTATTTAAACTATTATTTAAACTATGATATAACTGGTGACTGAGTCACCTGCTAAACTGTACTTAAAATCTGTATATTGAAATGAGGTGTTGTCTTAAGTGTTTTCTGGCCTCGAACATGTTAGAAATACCAGTGAAACACAGCCATCCTCTCTTCTTCCTACTGGCAAAAGCTTTAAAATTCAGGACACAGTAAAAAGAAGGGTGTCGTATGGGATTTGTATGTGGAGGTTGGTTTGGTTTTGGTGTGTTTTTCCTCTTTTTAAAGATTTGGTTTATATTTGAAAATATCAATTGTTTAGAATTCTGTCTTGAAAGCTCCCATTTAATTAAGATGAAATATATCATCTTATTCTTGTTAAGCTTACTAAACTACTAATTCAGAAAAAGCTCTTTAAAGTGGTATTTTTGTTCATTAAACTATTCTTTCCTCTGTCCCCACCTTTTTTTTTTAGGCTCGTTGCCATGCTTCTGAGGTCTTAACATCAGAGAAGATTCCTTAAAAGATATCTTTATTACCTCTTTCTGGAACTTGCTGGATGCAAAACATTAAACTTCTGGACTGTGACCCTAACTCAACAATTAAACTATGTCTCCATAAATGCTTGGGGGCTCTGGAGAAGCACAATACTGGAGTAAACCTGTAGTTTTGATCTTCAGTCAAAACTCTGCCCTCCTGATGAATCTGTAACTGAAGTATTACAGTCCTTGTCTTACTAGAAAATTTGATACTTTCTTAGGTGCTTAAGTTACCAAGCGACACCTACCATTCCGTAGCAAGCTATGCACCATAGTTAACTGTCAATAAGCAGTGGTTAAAGATACTATGGAGTTAGTTTATTGGAGTGCCTGGTCACAGTTTACCTCTGTAAATATATTTATGCTGCTTCTGTCGCCAGTGTTCTATTTCTTACCAAATTTGATCAACAAATATCTGTTATGCCTCAGCAAATGCTCCTGCAACTATCTGCAAAGTGCAGAGACAGTGATTTCACAATACAGTCTGTTCCACCAGAGATTAGTTTACTACTGAACTTCTTTTCAGTTAGCTGGCTTCTCTGGATGTATCACTTGTAAACACGAATGTGTGTGCTTAGGAGGTGGCTCAGTGTTAGCGCTGGCTGTGAGGTCTAAGGTGGTGGTGTCCAAAGGGGGGTGTGCGTGCTCTAGGGGCTGCGCAAGACAATCCGTTGGGGTATAGGAAGAAAATACTTCTTTTGTACCGTGAATAAATACAACTTAAAGTATTTTTAAAAGTGTTTATTAAATCTTTATTTCATCCTTTTTTTTTAATTTCTATTTTTGCATATGTTTTATAAAGTATATCCGCTATTTCTCGGAAGCATTTCAAAAGGACATTTGAGCTGACTGTTGACTAGGGAGTCTGTTGTGCAGGGTTAATGCCATTTAAGAGACTGGAGCTATCTGCTGAAACAATTATCTTGGGCGTTTGAGGCACCCTCCTGTACCTAAGATGTGCTGCTCTGGCCAAACGTAAGAGTCGTGGCTCTCTTGGAGGGTAGCAGGAGGCTGGGAGGGATGGACGAGTGTGTTGCAAATAGCACTAGGTGCCTTTCCTTAAGCAACTGAGTCATGCCGTAGCATCTGTTTACTGTAATTAGAGCTTAGGTACTTCCCTTTCATTTAGACTCTTACACGATGGCATCTAGATGTAGGTGTAGGAGTCTTACTATTAACCTGTTTCTCTCGTGTTTAATATACTCTGGCAATAAGAACTAGTAGTTTTGGGAAGCAGTGAAACACGTGAACGTGTAAAGATATTACAACCCATAAATCAGTAATTTGTCTGAAACATGCATGAAAGTAAAAAATTTTAATTATGAAAATGCATTAATTTCAGCAGATATATAGAAGTGTGCCAAGATCCCAATAAATTTTGTTGTGTTTAGCTTTTGTGAGGTTTTTTCGTTGGTTTCTTTTGGTTTTGCTTTTTTTTTTTTTAAACAAGCACTCTAGGAGCATCAGAGCAACGCAAGCCTAATTATGGATTTATTAAGGTCAAGTTCCTGGTGACTCACTTGAGCTTGACCTCAGGAATGCCCTGTAAAGCCAACAGCGTGTTCCTGAAATTCCAAGCAGGACTTTGATCTGCTTTTCTCTTCCCAGGCAGCAGGGCAGCGAAAGGAGTGGTACACTTGTCATCAGAAGTAAATCACAGACTTGTCATTGCTGGGAGTCCTCGATGCTCGTGTTCAGCTGCAAACTGTATTTTCTGAAAAAAGCACTGAAGGAGTGTCTGCGACCTGCGCCAAACAGCACAAAGTGATTACTGAAAGGCCTCCCAAGCCTGCTATACATCGAGTCCTGAGGCAGTTTACTCGTTACATGGAATAAACTAACTCTCAGAAAAGCTTCAGGTGATTATTGTGGTAAGGTTAATGTGGTAATTGCCACTTGGGTTTGTCAGAAGCTGTAACTGTTTTATCATGATTTTGAAAATGTGTTTGTTTTTCCTTGGGAACAATGTCAAAACTCTCTGTAAAGTCAAAATTTTGTGGGCAAAATGTTTCATTTTTTTTT